CCTAGTAAATTTATTTCTGCTGGAATTTTATTTTTATAAATTTGTATCAAAAAATTGTAATTTTTATTATTTTCGTTTACGAAGCAACGAGCTAGTGGGATAAATTGTAAATATCGTTTTATTATTTACGTAAATTCTCATTTTTCATTTTCTTCGTGTAGAGAGAAAAATATGAAAACTAATCATAATCTAACCTTTCAAAGGTGCAAAAATTTTTCTTTTTTAATGTTTTACTGCAATTTTTGGTTAACAATTAATACTTAATTTATCATAGTAGGTGCTAAATTATTATTGGGCATGCCTTCCTATTTACACAATTCCAGAGTATATATGGATAATGTGGAAATGCAAAGGCATGTTCAACCATAATTTAGTACCTAGATACGATTTAGAATGACTCAATAGCCTAAAACAGTAATTGTGGAGTAAAGTTTAAAAGGAGCTCTGTTTGTGTAGATATTTATTTATTTAAATAATGCTTCACAAAGGATCGATATCAGAATCTATAAATGTTCTGAATTTGTATATGTTATAGGTTGGTTCTTATTTAGACAATTTTTGAATTCTTGTACTCCCAGAGTTCGAAATGAATAATAATAAAATAAAAATCTGTAAAAGTTGCTAGGAATAGTTAGTTAGCATTATACGTACGTTTGAAGTTTGGCAAGTGTAAAATAAAAAAATTGATTATGCAATACAGAAAGCGTCATGTCGTTCAGTGTTAAGTTATTATTTCGAGAGGAAGGATATTATTTCTAATAAATAAATTCACTCATATTCAGTTTAAATATTTCTTATTAGAAATAATATCCTTCCTCTGGAAATAATAACTTAACATTCAGAAACTTATATTACAGATTGGCACGATTTAACGTTAAGTTTTTTATTAATTTCGCTCGTACTTTAAACACTGTTGAAAAATACAACAGTGAATGACGTCAACACTTCATGCTAAATAATTTGTTTAAAACAAATCTGAAGCGTTTAAAACATGTGTTCAAAATAAATGTAAAAAAAAATGTTCAAAACATACGTATGAATACATTTTTAAAAACGTTTTGAACTGTTTTGTCCTCAAATTTAGTACGAAAATGTTTCTTTTATTACAAATATTCATAAAAAAAAAACAAAAAGAATTGGACTTTGATACGCACATTTTTGCAATGCTATAAGGGCGCATGTGTACATTGTGACCATTGAAGTAATATGAGAGTGTTAAAGAGCAATTTTCCTCCACTTCTTGTGATACGTCTACCTCCAGTAGCACCCCACGATGGGTCAGAGTGATTCCAGCTTTGCTGTCATCTACACGCTTTGGCGGTAGATGAGATGGTGCAACAGTGTCACATTCGCTTTCAACACATAAGGTAAAGAAAGTTTTTGGAAAGTTTTATTTTTTGATAACATTGATACAAAATTTAAGTTAGATTCCTGACCGTTACTATTATGTAGTTTTCCGCAGGGTGTCGGTCAAATAATTACGCAACTGTATGTTTTTGAAACGTTTCGGTTTATTCAATCATCTTCAGACTAAAAAAAATTGTTTTTTATTTATAGTTATAGAAGATGGTTAGATAAACCGAANGAAACTTATATTACAGATTGGCACGATTTAACGTTAAGTTTTTTATTAATTTCGAACTCTATGAACCGTTGGGAACATAAAAAAGTCATAAAAAATAAGGACCACTCCAAAAGGCGTACCTTTCACAATAATGGTAAAACAAAAATTAACATTTTACAAACAGGCGCTTCTTATTATGTACCTACCCACCTTAACGTTACATTTAAAAACAAAATTAATTAAATAGAAATAAATTATTATTATTATTAATTATATAATAGATTGCTTGCAGAATATGTTATAATGAAAATATTTTGTTATTTAAGTTAAGTAAATGCGTGTGACTTCAAATAAGTGCAAAATAAATTTTTAAGTAATTTAATTAACTATGACACGATTAGCCACTTACGTTTTATATAAGTGGTACGTGAGTTCTAGTTTTCAGATTTTTACTGCATGTCTAGAAGATGTTGCTCTTTTATTGTTAACTATCTCTAATGCTATTACAAAGTAGATACGATACGCCATGTTATTTTTTGGTTTCGTGATTTGCATTATATTCCGATAGTGTTCATAGAGAAATTAAGGAAAAACAATATAAAAGGGAGCTGATTGTTTAGTTTTTCAGATTTATTGGAATTTATTATTTTAGCGTACTTAGTGTAAATTTATATTCGTGTTCCTGAAAAAGTCGTGTTCTTGTACAGAGGATTTCGGGTATAACGACGACGAAGGGACCACTGTAATTTCGTCGTTTTATCCGGAAGTCGTTACAGGCAAAGGTAAAGAGATACAGACATGTATGTATAGATTTCGTCATTTTTCAATTTTGAAACGATTTCCGCCTTTTTTTAACAATAGAAAAAACGACAGAAAAAGGAAAGAGGGCGTACATAGGATTTGTAGATTTAGAGATAGCTTTTGACAAATGGGATAAGATGTTAAATATACTTAAAAATGTAGGGATGAGTTACAAAGATGGAAGAGTGATACTCAGTTTGTATAAAGAGCAGCAGGCAGTTATACAGATGGGGCTGTAACGTAGAGAAGGAAATATTAGGAAGGGAGTCAGATAGAGATGCACACTGTCACCGCTACTTTTTAATCTATACATCGAAGACGCGATCAACATCATTAAAGACAGTACAACTATACAGGGGCAAAAGATTAGTATGCTTAGATTTGCAGATGATATAGCAGTATTAGCAAGGAGGACCTAGAGATAGCTTTAAATAAAATGGAAGTGGTATTGACGAAACAGTATTCTATGAAAATAAATAAAACTAAAACAAAAATACTGGTATGCAAGGGAAGAAAAAGTAGGGAAAGAGCGAATATACAGATAGGAGACGAAATATTAGAAGAAGTGGCTGATTTTAAGTATCTAGGAAGTCAGATAAGTCAGAACGGAAGGAGTAGTAGGGATATAAAGTAGACGATAACGTAGGGTCGAGTCGTCTTCAATAAAAAGAATTTACTTTTGTGCTCGCGAACGGTTAATTTAGAAATTAGAAAAAGATTGTTAAAAGTGTATGTGAGGAACGCGGCGCTGTACGGGTGCGAAACATGGACGGTGGGAGAGACGGAAAAGAAAAGGTTAGAAGCGTCCTAAATGTGGTGCTGGAAGATGAGAAATGAAGAGATACTACAATGAATAGGAGAATAGAGGACTCTATGGAAGTCAGTAAAAAATAGACGAGGTAGGTTGGTGGGACACCTTCTCAGGCATGAAGGTCTAGTGAGAGACATATTAGAGGCAGAATGAGGAGATAAGAGGAGTAGAGGTAGACCTAGATTAGATTACTGTTAGCATATAGTTAAGGATGTGGAATGTTCCAGTTTTAAGGAAATTGGAAGATTAGCTCAGGATAGGAAGGAGTTGAGGTGCGTGTCCAATCAGTCTTAGGACTGACGACCTCATGATGATGAAAAGAAAATGCATGGTACTCGTGTGTCTCCTTTTAGCCTAAAGAATACAGGGCGTTTTGTAAACTCTATATTCTAATCTGAAAGCCGCCTTTGGTTGGAATTGCTTCCTAAAATGGCATGACAGTGGTATGGCTTAACTTTTTTCGATGTAGATTTATTAGATTTAGTAAATTTAATCAATATTAATGAAAACCGTCCGAAAAAAGAAGACACCTAATACATCCCTACTGCAAAACCAAACACAGTGCATACAATGTCCTTTCCGAGATCTTCTCTCACAGATTCCTAATTGAATATTCACCACATATGTGATCATAAATGAAGGGATTTGCTTCAATCATTGAAACAAACGAATATACGAGGGTGGATTGATAAGTTTCCGGCCTGACCAAGAAAAACAAGGTTTTTAAAAATTTTTTTTTTTTATTTCTCAACATAATCTCCTCCAAGGCTGATACATTTCTCATAGCGGTGTTCCAGTCTATTAATGCCATCTCTATAGACTGATTCGTCAAGCTCCTCAAAATAACCATTTACAGCTTCGATTACTTCTTCATTGTCCGCAAATCTCTTACCGCCAAGCCATTTTTTGAGATTAGGGAACAGAAAATAGTCACTCGGGGCTAGGTCTGGAGAGTAAGGAGGGTGCGGCATCAATTCAAACTTTAGATCGTTGATTTTAGCCGTCGCAACGATTGACGTGTGCGCTGGTGCGTTATCGTGATGAAACAAGATTTTTTTCTTCGCCAGATGAGGTCGTTTAATTTTCACCTCGTGGCTCAAACGTTGCAATAAGTCTGCGTAGTATTGACCAGTGATAGTATTACCCTTTGCAAGGTAATCAATGTATATAATACCTCTTGCATCCCAAAAAACAGTAGCCATAACCTTGTTCGCCGAAAAAATTGTTTTTGCCTTCTTTGGAGTTGGTTCCCCTGGTCCAATCCACTGTTTAGACTGTTCTTTGGTTTCAGGAGTGTAGTGGTGGACCCACGTTTCGTCAACGGTTACGAATCGACGCAAAAATTCGCTTGGATTACGCTTATACAATGACAAATTTGCGGTAGAAATGTTTTTTCGAATCAATTTTTGGTCGACTGTTAGCAAACGCGGCACCCATCTTGCACAGAGCTTTTCCATATGCAAATGTTGGTGCAAAATATGTTGCACACGTTCATATGACATCTTACAGGTCTCAGCTATCTCACGCACTTTCAATCTGCGGTCTCCCAGCACTATTTGATGAATTTTTTCGATCATATCTGGAGTTGTGACCTCAACGGGGCGTCCTGAGCGAGGCCCATCAGAGGTGCTCACACGACCCTTTTTAAACTCGGAAACCCACTGCTTAACGGTTGAATATGACGGGGAGGATGTCCCCAGTGTTGAGTCCATCTCTTTTTTAATTTCCTTCGGCGTTAACCCCTTCAAATAAAAGTATTTGATGACAGCACGATTTTCCTGCTTTTCCATTTTTACGAAAACCACAGAGGCGTCTTGTTCAGCGTGCTGTCAAACCTACACTAGCAAGGAGATCGGGCTGAAACTATAGCTACAAGCTATCCAAGGATGGTACTATAGAATGTCACCTCAAGGTAGGCCTAGTGGCGTCATCTCTTGGTTAGGCCGGAAACTTATCAATCCACCCTCGTACAAAATTTGGATATATCTTTCATTTTTCAATTAATCAACAAGAAAGTGAAGTAACACTTAAGTCGCGTGACTGCACGAAAAAATTGACCATTTTATCCACTACAATTGCATTGCTCAAATGTGCTGTTATTGGTACCAATTTGAAGATATATTAAAGGCTTTAAAGCTTGTTTTTGACTCGCGCTACTATTCATGATTGAACGAAACTTTTGGCAGGTACTGTATGAAAAAGTATGTTTAATGAACAACAGTCGAGAGTATAATGAACTTTTTTCTCCCTACCTACGATTTTGCCAGCGCGCATACAAGACATTGGGAGGGGGCCATCACTAGAGAAAGTAAATGAAGTATACTTGCTACATTCGTTCAGTGAGTTCTGATTTATTTGCTAGCATTGATTCAATTTGAAGTAGCTAGATCACGCGCAAGATCATACATATATATTTAATAATCAGTTAATGCTGTAGTTTAATTAAAAAATACTATTATAATATACAATCTAAATAAGTTTCACTTCTTGCGCGCTCGCTCCTTTTTTTCTTATTAAAATATTTTTTGTTTCATGTAATACATTGTGAAATCTATGTTTGGTTAAAAATTACTAGAATAAGGCCCCAAAATCGAGAATTTTCGCCGATAAAAAGTTTGTCAGTCTCTATATAACGAAGCAATTCTCAAAGTTTCAGGTTTATGGTTAAAACACGAATGAAGAAACACAAAGGTCTTGTTTTTACTGTGTGCCGTTTAGTAGATATTAAATTTCATATTTGTAATCAATAGAATGTTGGAAACTAATGCAATATATTTTGGGATTAATAATTTATTAGCACATAATTACGTAAAAAAACGATTATGACACCATTCTTACAACTATTACTTCAAAATTGACCGATATTTAACTAGGTACAGCACACGAAAAGAACATTTGAAGCGTTTTCCATTTTCAGAAAGACAAAGCGCTCTGTATGATTTCCACATGAGCACGCTGGAAGAAATACGGACCAAAATCATTTTGCAAGTGAAACAAAAGTTCTCCCAAGTTCTTTGAATTGCTTCACAATCTATTGTCTTAAAAATTGGCTTAATTGCTACTAGATACCATCTATAAGTTGTTGTCAATTGAAGCGAGATACTTATTATCAAACTAAATATTGAACAATGGTTCACATAAGTTTCTAATGAATTTTTAGGGGATATTACTCTATCAGTAATAATTAAAATGTTCGAGTTATTAATGGGTGTAATTCCTTTCAGTTTGAATTACTTTTTCACAAATTAACACTTTTTTCTTTCGCTGTCACTTATTTTAGATTATATTATTTCCTCAATTCCTCCTCCATTCCACTGTGTCTTCTGATCTTTGCAGATTGTCAGAACATTTTCCGGATCTTTATTCTTTTTGTGATTCTTAATCAACGTTTGGCTTCCTTTGACACAAATTTTCTTCTTTCCAATCTATTTTTTCTTCTATTGTTTCCACTTGTACTTTTACAGTATTGTGTAATCTTGTAACTTTACAAATTATTTTTATTTCTGGATTTTATTTCCATTTTTTAGTGATCAACTCGCTGATTTTTCATGGTTTCTGTACTATCTACGCTACTTATTGTATTTCTTTCTTTTTTTCGTTTTGTTTCTCTTTCTTTTTCTTCTCTTATCATTTTAATTTCATTTCCTATTTTGCATCTACTTATTTCATTCACTTTCTATTCTTCCATATCTCTCTTTTTAGAGATCTCTTCTCATCCATTTCATATCTTATTGTGATTATTATGATTTTTATTTTCTCTTCAATATGTGCTAATTTTATTTCTTTTGTGTCAGAGTTGCGATGAAAAAATGGAAACAGTAGTTTACTTAGGATAATTTAATTGATAAGTACATGTGCTGTTCACAAAATGAGAGCTGAACCAAGACTAAAAACTAAAGACTGCTTAAGTATTTCCGTACATGTTATTTCTATATGAATAACCGTTTTCTTACAGACTAAACAAAGTCTATCGGCGACTATCGAACACATATCTAATAGATTTATGATTTTCCATCCATGACTGTTTATTAAGCTAACTCACGGCTACACGTCGCCGTTGTAATATAAACAATTACCAGTCTCAACATTTTGTGCAGTTCTGTTTGGTCGCATTTTTTTTTGTATCTTCTCCTATATCCATATTCATCTTTTCCTTCTCGAATTTTGTCTATTTTGTGCTCAAAATTGTGCCACGTTCTTTTTTATTCATTTTCTCCTTTTTCTTGCTCTCCTTCTGTGAATTTTCTTCTTTCACTTCTTCCAATAGTAATAGATTTGCTAACGAACACATTTTCTCTTGTTAGACTTAGACAGAACTCGCATTCCTCTACAATCTACATCGTGTATCATTTAAATTTTCTGACTACTACGTTAAAAGGATAGCGTGTTTGTTCAATTCTGACCCTTTAGGATTAGGAACCTTCTTTTCATATCGGATTAGTTCACAAATGCATTTAACGTTTTAATATAACGGGACTTAAATACAGCCGATTGGAGTGATTAAAAATCAAACTAGAGATTCTATCTATATTTACATCAATTTTTACACAATAAAGAGACATCTACTACGTAATCCCTTATAGATGAAAATATTCGCCTTTTCAACTAACTTCAAAAGAGGAAGTTCTGAATTCGATTGTACTTTTTGTACCTTTCACAATGTTGTTTTCCGGTTTCTTATATTGGACAATCTTTGTAGCCCTGATAAGATTCACGCATGCTAATCGTAACGTTAGCTAGACAATAAAATAGCGATGTGTCTATTCACCGGTACTGTACCGATGACTAAGAAACTACTCGCCACTCGTTAGTCTTATAGTTTCATAAACCATGTAGATGTTTTATTGATCAACAAGCAACGTTTGCTTTTTAGTCACCGGTACGGTACCAGTGAGTAGCTTTTAGTCACTGGTACGGTACCAGTGAATAGCCTTTAGTTACCGGTACTGTACCGGTTAATAACCTCGTCCAAAAATAATGCTAACTCTTATATTATTCTTTTGAGAATTTGTTATCCTTTCGGTCCCTAATGACCTTTAGCTCAGGTCATAATAAATGGCTTACATAGAAGGAATCACATTCTAATTCACTTCAACTTATACAATTGGAGAGAGGAATTGAAAAGGCCCTGTCTATCATGGTACCCATTATTTTTGAGATAAAAACTGATTTATATTTTTCTACACATATTTTTAAGGTGAATTTGATATTTGGGTAGATTGTGTTGTTAAAATAAAATAATCTTTGTGCTCCTTTAAAACAAGCTACCATGTCATCCACGTATGTATGTATACCAAAAGTTCAAACAATAATTTCGAATAAGACAATTCAAATGCATTTACTTATAAGTACATAATTTTAAATTTCTTATCATTTTAATTAGTATAAGAGTTCGTAAATTGGGAACATATTAGTTGCATCAAAAAATAAGTTATGATACAGTTCCTTTTACGTTATAATTACTTTTGTTTAATTTAATTTAAACAATTAATTACTTTTCTTACTGAATATTGCTATTATTATTTTATGTTACGTAACAGTAATATTTCCTAATAGTCTGGTAGAAATAGACGTAAACATTAGAAAAAAGAAATAATTCGTTACAGCACTCTGATATTGTCGAACAAAAGCTGTTGTAAAAGAGGGAAAACAGCTTTTCGCGATTTTTGTGTATCCTATCGAAAAAAGTTGTTCTCGATATTTTCTACAAAAAAAAAAACGGAAAACCGGTTTTTCGGTTTTTTATTTTTTTTCTTTGACAATAAATTTCTATGAAGCAGAAACTTAGGCAAAATATACGTTTCAGTGTTGAAAAAGGCACTATTTTTTTTTAGACGGAAATATTTAGAGGCTGTCGTATAAAATAAAGTAAAAAAACATAAGATCTCCTACAATAATGTTAGAAGTAAAAGTGCTTATCGAAAATACCTTTGTATATGTAATTTGTTATTTCTATGAGAACAGCACCAGAGCTCTTTACTGTTTCACATAAACAAAAAAAAGTGGTTTATTTGTGTAAATCGTTTGAAAATGTTTTATAAGGGTGCCTAATGAAGGTTTCAGGTTTAACAAACGGGACAAATGCGAAAGTTTAACTCTGCCCTCTTATTTTTCAGGGCACCAGCATGTCCGGAAGGCTTCAATTAAAGTATGCGTCCACCGGACTTGGAGGACCCCCAAATTCCACCACAGACGACAGGGAAACGTGGGGTAAAAAAGTTGATTTCCTTTTATCCGTTATTGGATTTGCTGTGGACTTAGCAAACGTTTGGCGTTTCCCTTATCTTTGCTACAAAAATGGGGGTGGTAAGTTCTTCCTTTAGTGGTATTACATTTTTTTTGTTACAATTATTGGAGTTTTGTATTAGATTTTGTAATTTTGAGAAAAAGGGTACATCTTTTGGTGACGGCCCATTAGAATATTTCAGAAACTACTTCGATTTAAAATTTGAATATTTGTACAATGATGTTGTTGGGTATGCTCTCCTCAATTAAAATAACAGCATCTATGTAGCACTTCCGGAAGTTGACATCAGCTTCGTTATTTTAAATGGAACACCACGTTTAATATGGCGCTTTCGAATTCTAGTTGTGATTCTAGGTATAGTTGGGACGTTCAAAATTGGCATAGTCTGCAATGTATAGGGTTGTTCGGAAAGTCATTTCGTTTTTTCCCGACGGAGGATTTAATTGTATTTTTTTGCACTCAACTTCACATTTAAGCCGTATAATTTTTATATGCTTTGAGAGCTCATATAGCAAGGCTTGTGTGTGAAAAATTCCAATTAATTCTACGCAGTAGTTTTTGGTTGGTGCCCTTTTAAATATGGAGAGCGATAAGCAGCATTTTCGACATATCTTACTGTTTTACTACAGAAAGGGTAAAAATGCTGTTCAAGCCAGAAAGAAATTGACTGATGTGTATGGAGAAGGTGTGTTGACAGTACGCCAGTGCCAGAACTGGTTCGCTAAATTTCGATCCGGCAATTTTGATGTCGAAGATGCACCACGTTCGGGAAGGCCGGTTGAAGCTGATAAAGACGCGATAAAGGCATTAGTTGATGTGAACCGGCGAATAACAACACGTGAGATCGGATTGAGGTTAAATTTATCAAATTCAACAGTTTATGACCACTTGAAAGGCCTGGGATTATCCTCGAAGCTCGATGTATGGGTTCCCCATGTTCTCACAGAGAGAAATCTGTGTCGCCGCATTGACGTCTGCGATTCGCTTCTCAAACGTCACGAAAATGATCCGTTTTTGAAGCGCATCATCACTGGGGACGAAAAATGGGTTGTATACAACAACGTCAAACGCAAGAGGTCATGGAGCAAAAAAGATGAACCGGCTCAAACCATTTCCAAAGCCGATATTCACCAAAAAAAGGTGATGCTGTCTGTTTGGTGGGATTTTAAAGGAATCGTTTTTTTTTAGCTTTTACCGGATAACACAACGATTAATTCGGAAGTCTACTGTCATCAGCTGGACAAACTGAATGATGCACTTCAACAGAAAAGGTCAGAACTAATCAACAGGAAAGGTGTAGTGTTTCACCAAGACAACGCGAGACCTCACACAAGTTTGGTCACTCGCCAAAAGCTTTTACAGCTTGAATGGGATACAATGCTACACCCACCATATTCTCCAGACCTGGCACCATCGGATTATTATTTGTTCCGGTCACTCCAAAATTTTTTAGACGGTAAAACCTTCACCTCAAATGAGGAGGTCAAAAACCTCCTCGATCAGTTTTTTGCCAGCAAAGACCAAAAATTTTATGAGCGTGGAATTATGCTACTACCAGAAAGATGGCAAAAGGTGTTGGACCAGAACGGTCAATATATAATTTAATAAAGTATTTGTTTATTATACGAAAACTGTCTTTCATTTCCACAAAAAAAAACGAAATGACTTTCCGAACAACCCTATAACTATCGCATTTATTTTCTTTTTTCAACATACTAACTCGACTAGAACAGTTGCTGACAGAACGCCTACTTTTACTTACAACAAACGTTGTATTGAATATCGTAAACACAGAAAAGAGATGTCAGGTACGAATTGCAGCGGACACTAATAAAGAAAAAGGAATAACATTACATCTATTGATGTGTAATAGAAAGAGATGCAGATAAGTAGAATTTCAGCATGCTAGCATCGGACTAAAGAAAGTTCGACATTCTCAGGAATTTAGGAAAGCAAAACGCCTGTTTAAAGATATAATTCTAACCAGGCAGTTATANATTATTTATATTAAGCTTAACAACTATCCCCAAGGTAGCAGTACTAACCAGAGGTTACAGGGAGGTGTAACCTCTGGTTAGTACTGCTACCTACAATATCTATATGATACTGTTCAGGTTCTGGCGGTCGGTTTCAAAATTTTATCTATACTTCCTTTTGTACAAAACATAAAAAACATAAATGAGAAATAAATTGATATTGCTTTTATTGCTTTCCTTTTCGTAGTTTCCTGTTAACCTGCACAGTAGCAAATCTTTCCAATGGATAAAGATTAAATATTTATCAACATCATCATCATAAGGCTGTAAATTTGAATCCTGATTGGACACGCATCTCCATTTCTCATTTCCCGAAAACAATAACATTCCACATCTCTAACCATGTATTTGTGGATAGTGATCTAATATAAGTCTCTCTCTAACACCATTTACCCTGCTTTCACACAGACGGTTTTTTGCCGTGGCCGTGCACGGCAACCGTGCCGTGTATAATAGTAATACATTGGATTATATGAAAGCGTTCACACAGCACGGTTTGCTACCGTGGCCGTGCACGGCTGCCGTCACAGCACGGCATGGGGACTGCAACGGCACGGCGCCGTGGCCGTGCACGGCAACAGTGAGACAAGCAAGTGTATAGAAGTATTCACACGTGCCGTGTGTTCACACGGCAAAAATTGTTTTCAGGATCGTTTTTCTCTCTGAATTGTGCAGTTAACAGAAGAAATTATATAGTGTGGCGGATAATAACACCGCTATATTTAATTTAAAACATATATTTGACTAAACATTATATTACACCCTTTTGTAAATATTTCTACTCGAATTCTTTTGTATCTGTCTTTCTATTATTATTATTATTCTCTGTGAAAATATTTGGAACAGTGTCTTTATCAAGGTAAAAATCTTACTCCAAGCATCGGTAGAGATTATATAATTAAGAAAAATTTACCTCCTTTCTTAATAATATATCATTGGGGAAGATAATACAAAGGATATATTGAATATGAGCATTTAAATTTTCTCGGATATTTTTGAAGAAACAAGGTTTTGTACAGATATATATTACAATCTTCTTTTATCTCTTATAAGCTAGACAGTGAAAACTTTAATAATTTGATTTCTTTTGGTATCAAAGCGTTACATAACAGAAAGGAAAACCTTTTTCTATTTCTGATAGATTGTTTTCTGATTGATACTCAATTTTTTTTTATTTCCCTCTTGATATTAAATAAAGCGTAATCATTGTCAATTAATTTTGATGACTATTACTAATTTTTAAATCATCTTGCAATTTTACGCATAATTCATCGAAACTCCTAATGGACATTCGAAAATAATTAAAAAATTTGGAGCTATCCTCTCGTAGCTCATGAAATAATGTTACAAGTTCACCCATCAATTGTCTGTTTTCAAGTAGTGGATGAATCCAAAATCTTCTTGTTTTTTGTGTTTTTCTGCGATTATGCCATATAATTAGTAACAACATGCGTTTTTTTCATTCGTCCATTTTGGTCATGTATCAAAACAAAACTAAACCGTGAAAAACCGTGTGCAGTGTGAACGCAAAGCAAAATGAAATTACGGCACGGCACGGCACGGTTGCCGTTAGAAAACCGTCTGTGTGAAAGCAGGGTTACTTCTGTTTATACTTCCCATGTGTCTCTAGCTGGCCCAGGGGTCGGCAAACCGCATGCGGCTCTTTCAAGAAACAATTGCGGTTCTGCAAGTTCCCTTAAATAATTAACGGAGAGACACGCAGCGCACTGTACACCTAAAGCAAGAGACTTGCATTTTATGACTGACGTTATAATATATCTCAACGAACTGAATCTAAAGCTTCACGGAAAATGAAACACAGCATTTTCTGTACTAGAAGAAGTAGTTGGTTTTGAAAATAAATTGCTTCGTTTGGCAGAACATATGGAGATGGACACACTATTACATTTCCAGACCTCAAGGAAACATTGGGATGGAAGCAGTGCTTATATTGACACTGATGGTTCTTTCACAAGAACGATCAAAACAATGAAGGATGACTTCACTGAACGATTTGATTTGTTCAAAACTAATAAGCCTATCTTGGCTTTCATTGCCAACCCTTTCAAGGAAACAGCAAAAAAGTAAATTTTAAAGTGAAACTTTTATTGCATCGCCTCAAATTTTTTCGTTCATCTATCGCATGTCGCACTACAGCCGGCCGCGGAGTAGGGGTAAAACTGAAATGCGCTCGGCAGAGCAGCAAAGGCCAATATGGCAGCGCCCATGCTCGCATGAGCTAACCGTGCAGCATTTATATTCTCACTCATTCGTGCAAGTGCATGACAATTACATTTATGGGCTGTGAAACTCAAAGCGAAGAAAAAGTTATTGATAGAATAACTGAAGTTCAAAGTGATTTAAATCTATCGTCTTATTGATTGTATTTATCATGTATTTTATAGTTGGATATTATGTCTACTATTGATTTTCCAATATCATTCTCATTTTTCAATCATTAAGATAAGATTAAGGACGCGATTTTAATTTTAATACCTTAAATCGAATAATTTTCCGAAAATTTACAGTTAAATGCCTACAATCCGAAAAGTTTTATTTTCATCATGGTTTCATAAAACCACACAATTGTATTTTCACTCCATTAAATTCAATTGCTAGATTTAAAAAGCAAAGATTTGTGGAATTCGAAGAGTCTAAGTAGTACCTTAGAAGAGCTGGAAATGCAGAAATTCTCTTGATATCGCAACATAAGTGGCCAGCTCAAAAAGGGATGCCTAAGCCTGAGGGACCAATTTTCGATACNTAAGATAATATTAAGAACGCGATTTTAATTTTAATACCTTAAATCGAATAATTTTCCGAAAATTTACAGTACAGAAATGTCTATATCGCAACATAAGTGCCCAGCTTAAAAAGGGATGCCTAAGCCTGAGGCACCAATTTTCGATACTTGGAAAAGTCTTTTGGAATGCTATGACCCAATAAAAAAATGACTTTTGGTATGCTGACGATGGCGAAGAACTAACTAATCAAAATTTAGAGTCAAGTCTTAAACTAAAATC